CTCCATCCTTAGTCAACACCATTTTTGCAAATCATACATCTGTTTGTACTATTGTTATACAACTATCTTGTAATAAGTTGCCTATTGACCTTTGGCATTTTAGACTAGGACATATTTCTCATGACCACATGCTTCTTATGAAAGATTCTTATCCCTCTCTTGTAAGTGACAAAAATTTTATATGTAATACTTGCCATAACGCTAAACAGCGCAGACTTCTTTTTTCCAAAAGTGATTCACATGCTTCTCAACCCCTTGCTCTTTTACATGTTGATATATGGGGCCTTTGTGCCAAAATTTCTTTTCAAGGTCATCAATATTTTTTACTATAGTTAACGATTATTCTCGTTACACTTGGGATTTTCTAATGGTTTCTAAATCTGAAACTCATCAAATTTTACAAAATTTTATTACACAAGCAAAAAAACAATTTGAATTCAAGGTTAAAATCATTAGAACGGATAATGGAGTCAAGTTTCTTATGGATCAATTTTTTGCTTCCACGGGCATAATACATCAAACAAGTTATATTGAAACACCTCAATAAAATGGTATTGTGGAACGTAAACATCAACATCTTCTAAATGTTACTCTTGCTCTTCTTTTTTGATCTCATTTACCTCCTACATTTTGGTCATTTCTCTTTTACATGCTATTTTTATTATCAATTGTTTGCCAACTCCTTTTTTAAAAAATAAGACACCATATGAACTTCTTTATAAGCATCTTTGTGATCTTTCTTCATTCAAAGTATTTGGTTGTCTTTGTTATATCTCTACTATAACTGCTCATCGCAAAAAACTTGATCCACGTGCTAACCCTTGCATTTTTCTTGGTTTTAAACCTCACACCAAGGGTTATCTTATGTATAATTTACACTCAAGAAACATAGAGATTTCTCATAACATAGTTTTTCATGAAGATTGTTTTCCTTACTATCACATTCACTATGTTTCTCAAACTGATACCATACCCGAATTCATTTCATCTAGCTTGTCTCTTCTTTTATATGATATCCATGACTCTTCCATTTCACCCACTACACCAGTTGTTTCACCAATTGTTGATGCTCCTTCTTCTTTTAATCTTGTTCCTCTTCGTCGTTCACAACAACCCAATAGACAACAAACTTTTCTTAAAGATTTTCACACAGCTTTTACCTCAGCTAACACTAATTATCATCCAGGTATTCAGTATCCCTTATCTCAGGTATTTTCATATGCTAAATTGTCTCCTTCTTTTCATCATTCTGTTATGTCTATCACCTTTATTTCTGAACCCAAATCTTATAAAGAGGCTTCTAAGCATGATTGTTGGCTTAAGGCAACACATGAGGAGATATCTGCACTAGAGGCAAATGATACATGGGTTTTGATTACTCTTCCTCCTCACAAGACAGCCATTGGTTGTCGTTGGGTTTATAAAATCAAACATCGAGTTGATGGGTCTATCAAACGTTACAAGGCTCGCTTGGTTACTAAGGGTTACATACAAATGGGAGGTCTTGATTATATAGACACTTATTCTCCTGTTGCAAAACTCACTACTATTAGATTAATTATTGCCCTTGCAACTATGAACAATTGGCATCTTAAACAGTTTGATGTTAACAATGCTTTTCTCCATGGCATTCTTCATGAAAAAGTTTACATGCAAATTCCTCTAGGTATCACTCCTTCACTCCCTAGACAAGTTTTTCGTCTTCAAAAATCTCTTTATGGTTTGAAGTAAGTAAGTCGTCAATGTTATGCTCATTTGTCTTCATTCCTTATTTTTCATGGCAACAAGTAGTCTCAGTCTGATCATTCTCTTTTTCTTAAATGGTTAAATAATTATTTGCTCACTGTAGACCCCTAAAATTGTCCGGGTCGGAAATAAGACTCAAAGACTCTCGAAGACCGAAGGAAAGTCAGCCGGAAGGACTCCTGGAAGACCCTAGGATGATTCTTTGTAAGTCTAGAAGTCTTAGAGTAACTTAGAATAAGGGTGTGCGAGGATTGGAGCTCAATACGCCCTCCCAGAGGTTCAGTACGGCCGTACTGAGCCATTTGAACTGCAATACGGCCGTAGTGAACTCAATACGGCCGTACTGAAGTTTTTGAACTTCAGTACGGCCGTACCAAATTCAATACGGCCGTACTGTAGTTCAAAAACCCAGTACGGGCCGTATTGACCTCCCAGGCCGTATTGCGCCTCAATCCTATAAATAGGACGTCATTGGCACGTCCTCACACACTTTTTACACATTCCTCAACCCTCCTACTGAGTATTCTTGGGTTTTTGAGCTTTTCTCTGCCCTAGATATCTCTCCGGGAGCCGATCCGACGAAGTTCTTGAGTCATGAGCCATTAGCTTGAGATTCGAACAAGTCGAAGGGAAATCTCTTTGATTTCCATAGTAAAAATTTGTCTTTAGGGGAAAGGAGCGAGCGGACGTGTAGTGGGAAGGAGCGCCAAAAAGCCTCCTAACGTTGTTCTGATATATATAAAAGCCCGCTTCGGAGGTTTCTTTCTAAATCCTTTCTTTTACCGCTTTTATTGATTTTTGATTGTCGCATTGCATGTTTAGAGCTTTCATCATGTAAATATTTAATCTATAATCGTTTCTAATAAATAGGGGTAATTTAGTAATTTTACATTGTTATTTATGAAATAATCCGTCATAGGGAACCCGAAAGGGGCGTTGTGGGGTGCTAACACCTTCCTCGCACGTAATCGACTCCCTTACCCGACTCTGGTTGTAATGGCCAAGGTTGATTTATGAAAATCAATTGCCTTATATCTTTTTCCAATGTTTTGAGTAAAATATTGGTGGCGACTCCAAGAACCCTTCTTTTTACGAAAACCACTAATCCATGGAGGGTCCCGCTTGGGATTAACATGGATTGATGAGAGTCATTTAAACAAAATTGTTAGCTCGATGAAGTCTCAGTTTGAGAATAAGTCGTTCTAACAATCCATCATTCTTCAAAACTTAAAAAGAGTCCAACCATCGTCGCGAATGCCAAGGTCCGTTTCGGCGGGTGGCGACACTCACTACTTTACTAGTATATGTCGACGCCATTATACTTGTTGGAAATAATATTTATGAGATTCACTCCATCACTCATCTTCTTGATACCATGTTTCACATCAAAGATCTTGGTAATTTAAGATACTTTCTTGGATTAGAGGTTGCTTGAAATAACACTAGAATTTCTGTTTGTAAATGTAACCATACCCTTGATATCCTTACTAATACTGGTTTATTAGGTGCCAAGCCTGTTAGCACTCCCATTGACTATTGCACCATGTTACACAAAAATCTAGTACTATTCTTCCTGATCCTACTCCATATCTTTGATTAATTGGAAAATTGATTTACCTCACCAATACTCGTCCCGACATTTCTTATGATGTCCAACATTTAAGTCAATTTGTTGATTCTCGAACATCTGCTCATTAGCAAGCAACATTTCACATTGTTCGATATCTCAAGAATGCACCTAGATGTGGTATATTTTTCTCTAACAGAAATCATCCTCAGATCAAGGCCTTCAATGATTCTAATTGGGCTGGTTGCCATGATACTTGTAGGTCTATGACTGGTTTTGCGGTTTATCTTGTTTCTTCTCTCATTTCATGAAAGTTCAAGAAACAAGCTACAATTTCTCGAAGCTCTTCCGAAGCAAAATATCGTGCTCTTGCCACTACAACTTGTGAAATTTAGTGGCTGACTTTTTTGCTTCAGGATTTCCAAGTTCATTTTGATAAACCAACTTTACTCTATTGTGACAATCGATCTGCTCTTCATATGGCTACCAATCTCATTTTTAATGAAAGAACCAAGCATATTGAAATTGATTGCCACATTATTCGTGAAAAGCTCAATTTTGGTTTACTTAAACTTCTACCTGTTTCATCATCTCTTCAAATGGTTGACATATACAAAAAGCCTTTGCCTCCTACTGATTTCCACCATTTTTGTTCCAAGTTGGGCATGTCAAACATCTATTCCCAGTTTGTGGGGGGTCTTAGCTATAATCAATTTTACTATAGTTAGTTTTTTATCGAGGCTACTTTGTAACTAATTCTGTTATGTTAATTGCTTTCTGATTTTGCTCTTTCTGATTGTATAAATACCTTTGTTGTACCTATTATGAATCAGTTTTTGTTGATCAATAATATTGAGCATTATATGATTCTTTTCTCTCCCAAATTCTCCATTATCATACATGTTGTGTTTGGTTCATAATATAGACATCTATAATCTCTTAGTAATATGACAAATCACAATATTACATAAATTGGAAATTAGATCTATATTTCCAAGTTAAATTCTTCCATGCATGAAACCATAAATTAACATCACCAAATCTTTAAACAATTACACGAAGGAAGTAAATAACCATAAAAAGTAAGAGTCATTTTTGGACAAGTTTTTCAATAAGTATTGATAAGAGAAGAAAATAAAATGAATCAAGGAAGTAAATTGAACCTAATTCTCACGTAAATTAAAATTTAAAGGTTTAAATATGTTTTTAATCCCTCAAATTTAAGATAAATTTATTTTTGGTCCCTCAAATTTAAAACTGTTGTTTTTAGTCCCTGTAATTTTTAAAAGTCTTGTTTTAGTCCCTTAAATTACCAATAACTTATTTGAAAGTGACTAATTAAGACAGTTATGCAATATCAACAAGATTTAATGTGATATTTTCACTAATATGGACACCAATAGGTAGATTTTATACAATAAAATTTGATAAATTTCTTAACAAAATTTGAATATAGGGACTAAAATAAGATTTTTTGAAATTATAGAGACTAAAAATAACAATTTTAAATTTGAGGGACTAAAAACAGAATTACTCTAAATTTGAGGAACTAAAAACATATTTAAGCCAAATTTAAAATTAGTTTACACTCTTTGACTTCTTTACATGTTCCCTAATTTAACCTCTGTATAAGCGCCTAATAAACAGAACAGAGTTCAACGTTCATGCTTTAGAAAAGGCATGGCATGGTTTAACAATTGAAAAGTTGCCGTAAATAAACCAATATTTGACCATCTTAAAATAATCAACTTTTGCCAAATAGAAATCAATTACAGTGACAGATATTACAAAAATGTTCCTTTGATGAAAAGACATGATTTTTTTCTTATATGTTGTTTCGGAAAGAATACAATACTCTTGAACTTTAATAGGCTAGCTTTGTACGACAAAACTAATTTTCTGTACCACTTTCTAAGTTCGAGGCATTTTGTTGTTTATGTTCGAGTACCAATCTGTAGACATAAAATGCCACTACTGCACCACTGCAGATGTAAACAACGATGTTATTTAACAAAATATTAATAACTACGAAAGAACTAATCTAGCTTCAAGAACATAGGGAAATTGATTAATAAGGGAAGCCGACACTTGATTCATTCAAATTTCACAACATTATCAATGGAAAAAGAATTATAATCAATTGCATGTGCTGCTACTACAACAAAGAAAAACCGTCTCATATACCACCGACTAATTAAGTCATACGTTAAGAGTTTGGTTGATAAAACTTCTGTAATATCACTTTTAAGAAAAAAAAATTGAAATAAATTTCTCTATAAATTAAAATTAACTTATGCAGTTAAAATTGAGAATTTGAATAAGTTAATAGAAAAAAGTTTTACAAATTAACTTACACATAAATTAATTTAAATATATGAAGATGTTTATTTCATTTTTTTTCTTCATATTTTTCTCTCTAGCATATATGCTTCTAGAAAAATTTACCCAAATAGGTCCGTGGTCAACATAGAGGCTCAAAGCTACCAAAGAAAACATTATACATCTTCTAATCTAGACCGGCTCAAATTGCAATTTGCATTGCCAATTTTCCACCCACAAAGGATACAAATCCCAGACAAGAATATGCCTAGCTTTCGTATGTTCCTAATTTAGAAAAACATTCCGTATTATATCAAAGGCAATTTTCCACCACAAAGGATACATTTCCTTCTTCACGCCAAGTATCAAAATCCTATTTTAGGATACATATATTTAAGAAGTGCATGAAAGGCTAAATTAATAGTGAATAATGAAACTGAAAACACGTCTACTAATTTCACTTTTAAATTTTGTAAAAGATCATAGCATTGGCATTTGGCACAAAGAACAGGAATGGAATGAATGCCATCCTATTTAATCAGCATTCCATAGGTCAAACACAAGTATAAGGTTGGCTGAGTTTCCAATTCGAGTATTTAGCAAGAACCATCTCAATCTATAAGCTTCCCACAAAAAAAATAATTTTCAATATTGTGTCTGTAGAACATCATAGCAGGCTTCACCTCACAACCAAGCATTTCCCCAAAATATGTTATATAAAACCATTCATGTAAACAATAATAAGATTTTAAGAACCTGATCAAGGCAGTGAAATAAGTTACAAGTGGTGACCCCTGTAAAAAGGAAGACAGGAACAAAAACCATTAGAAATGTGAAACAAGATAAAATTGAATATAATGAACAAATCCAAAAAAAAAAAAAAAGAATAAATAATATAATAGTATAAAGGTTTTTTTCTATTGTTATCCAATCACAAATGATAAGTTTTGACTTTTAAAATGACTACTTTAAAATTCAAAGAAATGATAACTTCTAATTAGTTATCAATATAAAAAAAAATTATATTGCATTCTATTAAACTCAAGAAGTAAATAAATGAAATTGTCTAACCTCCGCAGCTAGCAATCTTATCTCCCGCAAAAACAATATAGTAGCTATTGCTGCAAGTCCAACAAACACACAAAACCTTAACATTCACAAAACAGATGGAGTAAATTTTAGAAGTCAAACCAATAATCATATGAAAATGATGTTACCGGTTTGGCCTTTCAGCATTATAGAAGATGATTGTCCTCTTTTATATGACCTGAGACTTGAAACGCTTAGAGCCAAAAGGACACCGCCTAACACTATCCCAAACCTCAGCGCCGCAATGCTTCCTGTCACCATGAAGGAAACAAATCCCCCTAAAGAAAGCACCAAACCTGCAATTTAAAAAAATAAATAAATTAAATTAGACAACGCGTTCGCAATAAAAACACAAAATCTTTCGTACGCTCTATTATTTATTAAAAATTACAAAAATCATTAATAAGACTTGTGAAATAATTGAATCCAACAAAATTTTACAATTTCAAATAAATTTCAACTAACAATAAATAAATAAATAAAATGTGCTCAAAAACTGAAAAGAGTGTGTTGATATATTTGATTTGACTTCAATAGATATTCGAGTAAATCGTCTCTGAAAGTGATTAGTATTATCACATTAGTTATTAAAACTAAAAATGTAAAATAAATTCTTAAAATATCAAACAAGTCTCTAAATAACTACTTACTATCATAGTTTAGTAACTCTTTTAGTCCTTATAGTTTCATAAACTTACATTCTAGGCTCTATGGATAAAAATATTCCATTTTAATTTTTATACATATTTATTTTTTCTTTTTATTCTCTGTCATCTATTTTTATAAGAATTAAAAGAGAAAGTTTATGCAATTACAGGAACTAAAAAAGAAATTTTATGCAACAATTGAGACTAAAAAGAAAGTTTGTACAATTATAGAAACTAAAGAAAAAGTTTATATACATCAATAAGAACTAAAAGAGAAAATTCATACAAATAAAGGACTAATATGAATAACTTTTAGTCATGTTCTTAGAATAGTGGATTTAAGTCTAACTCAACCTTACAAAACCAGCTTGTAAGGTAAGGGTTATTTTCCACTCATATACTATTCAATTGCTTAATCTCTGGTCGATATGAGACTTAGATTTTTCTCAATATATGTAAACTTAAAAAGTAAAGTCTATAAAAATATAAGACAAAAAAAAAAGTTACTAAACCTACTATCATTTTTATCCTAAATATGTACTATGTTTTCACTAAAGTTACATTTTTTTTTACTAACGTAGTTGTCAATTTCTACCAAAACTTTTTGTTAATGGTTTTATTCAAAGGACTAATATGACGGTCCAAATTGAGGGAGGACCAAACGAGAAAGTGACTATTTAATTTAATTATTCATTTATAAATAACCACTCAAATTAGTCTTCGAATTTAAAAGGCGGTGTTATATGATTGAAACAAAGAAATTATTAAACACATTTTAAAAATATAAATTTATAATCACATTAGATAAAAAAAATATATGACTTTCAAAAATATTAATATATTTATACTAATATATATAAGGAATACATTTTTTTAAAAAACTACCTTATTCTTTATATTTTATTAACTATTATATCTTTCTATTTTAAAAAATTATTAAAAAAATAATATTTTTTATTAAATTTAAAAACTTGAAAACAAATCATAATATTAATTAGATTAATATATTTTTATTAATTAATTTTTATTTTTATTTTAGTTTGCCTCCATCTTACTAGTATTCATAAATGGTTTAATTTAGGAATTTAATTGAGACGATACGACAACTTGTTAATTTCAGGAGCAATGTGACATAATCATCCAAATTCAGGAGCGAAGTGAGAGTATTTGCTTCACTTACACACATACCGTAAGGTATACCGACGTAGAAATCGCGCAATTGAGAAATTTGGGCGAGGTCGTGATCGGGAGAGGCGAATGTTTGAACGATTTCCTTGACCTCAGGCGAATTCTCGACGATTTCCTCGGCCGTCACTCTCAGCTCTTCCGTCGCGTCCTTCAACACCAGAATCGCCTTCGAGGCCTCTTCTCGGAAGGCGTCGAGAGCTTGTTTCCACGATTCGATGGTGCGATCGCCCTTGCCCCCTTCTCTTTCACGCCGAGCTGCGAGAGCGAGAAAGGAAGGGGCGAGAATGCGAGGAGGAGCGAAACGAAGGTTAGGGGAGGAGCAACGGTGGTGTATCAATTTAGGGTTTAAAGCCCACGCTGATTTCAACGTTAAAGTCAATGCAGTTGCAGCCATCACACTCAGCTTGGAACGAAAGTGTTTCTCACAGTCCCAAGTCCCCAAACAACCCGCAACATTCTTACAACACTTTTGGAATCCAAATTTAACATGTACAACTTAAGTTTAAATATATATATTTCGTAAATTCCTCTTTTCTCCGTTATAAATAAATAAATATATATATATATATACATATAGAGGAGGGTTCAAACGACACCGGTATAATTTTTACTAAGTGTTACACCGCTCAATAACTTTATATTAAATGTGAATTTTGAAAATCCAACCGTTAGATTGAAAGTTCATATCTCGTAGATCATGTATATCAAATTTTGTATTAATCTAAGATGATTTGATACTTCATTCTCATAAAACAAAATCGACGTAATATATACATTTCAAAATATACAAAAATATGAACACTTTGATTACCTTCAAGTTGTTGTTCAATTTTAACAAAATTTGACATATATGATCTAAGAGATATGAACTTTCAATCTAACGGTTGAATTTTCAAAATTCACATTTAATATAAAGTTATTAAGCGGTGTAACACTTAGTAAAAGTTACACCAGTGTCGTTTGAACCCTCCTCATATATATATATAT